AGCTGCGATGGGGAGCTGGCCGTGGCGCCCCTGCCAGAGGGCGACCTTCCCGGGCAGTTCACGCGTGTCATGGGGAAAGGTGGGTGCTCCAGGCCTGGCTCCGCTCGTTCACGGGCAGGAGGATGCTTGGGTCAGAACCCCAGCCTCCTAGCCCCTCAAGCCGGGGTCCGTGGGCCTTGGCTTCTGGGGATGGGAAGGGCGGTGTGCTTAATCCTTGGAATAACCCATCCTGCCGAGGAGGAAGCTGAGCACCCAGGAAGGTCTCGGAAATGGGTACATTTTCTTGCGTCGTGCACAGTACTCTCCCTCTGTCCATAACCAGGGCCCCTCCTACCCCACGGGAAGCCTTATTGGATCCTAACCAGTGGTGTGGCTTGGAAGGTGCTTGTGCAGTGCCTGACCTGCATATCTGTAATGTGACAGCCTTGCCTAGAGCCCTCCTTCCCTCCCCATTTTTTTCGCCTGTGACATTGCTTCCTTGTCCTCTGAGTCAGCTGAGTCCTCTCTGGGCTGGTTCGGCTGCCTGACTGCAGGGCTGAGTGAGGTATCTCACCCAGCTCACACTGCATTGCAGCCATGCAAGTATCTGTACCCCACTCGCCTTCAGCGCTGCCGGCCACTTTCCGTGTCCCCTGAACACAGTGCCTGGCTGATGGAAGGAGCCTGCTGCACGTTTGGTGACATCCCAGGGGGCGGCTGTGACCCCCACGTGGCCCTCGGGGTGACAGCACCCTTGCTGCCTGTTTGGCCTCCAGCTCCCCATAGCCCAACCCCTTATCCAGGTCCCTGAAAGTGTCTGGCGCTAGAATATTGCTTGGTGGGAAGCCTCATTGGAAACCTTAAATCATTTTAAGATGATTTCCTTTGGAAAGGGGAATCGGCTTCCTCCTTTCCTGTCCCATATTGTGGACCATTTAAAAGCATCAAACTTTCACCAAAAGAAACAGACATCTGAGCCCTAAGTTAGTGAGAACCCCTTACCCCATAAGGGCCTTGCACAGACTACTTAACCCCCAAAGCTCTGGCTTGGAAGGAGAGGGCTCTCAGCCTCCCTGGGGATGGAGTGATCGGAGCAGCCACCCAGGGGACCACCAGCTGACCATGGGGTTGGTGCCCCTTCCCGAGGCAGACACATTTGACAAAGTCGCCCTCTATCAGGAGAGATGCCGGTGGCTTCTGGGATTTTATTCTTACAAACAGCGCAATCCTGAAAACCTACATCCAGAGATGAGTAGTAAGTGGGATTTGGGCCAGGTTGGTCAGGGACAGGAAGGAACCGGATATGGTGCCCAGCTTCCCAGCTTAATCTGGCCACAGTGGTGAGGCCCTGGATGTGGTTGTTCATGCAGAGTCCGGTGCCTGCGTGCGACCAGAGTCCCAGCTCTTCCTTGAGAGTGGGGGGCCCTCGTGTGTAAGATGAGCACATCCCCCTGAGGAAGTCCCCCCGTGTCTGAGTGGCAGGTTTCCCGTGCTGCCCACACGCCTGGCAGCCTGACAGGCTCACTGATGAACTGGTGTCCGCCCACTTCCGAAGGCAGCCACGAACACTGGAGTGACGGGGATGAGCCCAGGGAGCCCTGACTGAATGAGGGGCCTCCCAGCCCTTCCGTACAGAGCAGCCTAAAAGCCATCCGCGGTTCGAAAGGGTTTGCATGTTTTCTAATCCCCCTCCCTGCTCGGTCCACAGTGTGCACCCAGCTCTTGGTCTCCAGACCCGACGAGGAGAACATAAGCTCCTACCTTCAGCTCATAGACAAGTGTCTCATCCACGAGGTGAGTCGCCACCCTGGTGCCCTGGCTGCCTGGTGGCGCTGCTCAGAGCTTCTGTGGGGAGCTCACTCGGTCTCCCGTGGGTTGTGGGTTGGCAGCTGATGGCTGTCGGATTTGTGCTTTTTGTCAGAACTGTGTTTGCCATTTGTCCTTCGGAGGGCTCCTGGGGCAGGCCGGGGTGGTGCCTACCAGACCCTCCAACTCAGCCCCGCTGGTGCTGCCTCTCGGGGCACCTAGGGAGAGGGAGGGGCCCCAGGTCTGGGCCCAAACGCCCCCCACCAAAAGCAAGACTCAGAGACAGGTCCGTCCTCTGGTCTGATGGCACTCGCCCCTCTCTGGGGCCATCACAGCTGCTCCCCGAGCCCCTCCTCTCCCTTCTCCTCCTGAGGCAGCGTGAGCGCTCGTGTGCCTGACCCGGCTGGCCAGCCAGAGTCCTCTGTCGCCGTATGAGTATAGTGACCAGTTGGTGGGGCGCGCAGACAGGCTGTACCCTGAAATACTCAACTGTTCCAAACTCCTGGCTTTTTCACTGAAAAGAAAAATCTCTTCTAGCTAATGGTTTCCCCAGCTAATGGTCACCCCTTATTTCTGTAGATATTTACTGAGCAACTTCTAGAAAAGAAACCCAGAACCTGCATTCTGTCCCATGCCTGCTCTGGCCCTAGGCCCAGATACTGCAGGACAAGGTGCCTTTCAGCTCACCTCAGGTCACCCAAGTCCTCCTGAGGCCTCTGTACAACAAGGCTGGGTCCCAAAGGGTCAACAAGCCTGGAGCATTGGCCTGCAAGCGGCATCTGACTTCCCGTCAGGCCGGGCACCCTTCCTGGGCACCTGCCACTTGTGTCTTCCCCCTTTGCCTCCCTGAAGTCCCACGTGACTCGGTGCAGAGATGGCCCTTGTGGGGCCATCACATGCTGGTTGCTGGAGGGCAAGAAGGAGCTTGTGAGCAGTTATGTGCCCACGGTCAGGTTCACAGACCGAGGAGCCTATGCTCTGCTCTGGAGGGAAAATGTTGTTTAAGGCTTTGATTAGATTTCAGTTCAAGGAAGAGCAGAGGTACCCGTGGGCAGAACACAGCCTCCCTGGAGGAGGAGACACGCCGGCTCCTTTCTGGCTGAGGCCCCTGGGCTCAGGAACACAGGCTCCCTTTCACCACCAGGGTGTGTGCTCCTCATTGCCCAGTCGCGGAGGTGTTGACTGAGCAGGAGTCTCCCTTCCTTTGGGAGATGAAGGCACCACTCCCTGGAGCGGCCCAGGGAGGACAGAGGAACTCCTAAGTGTGGCTTCTGAGACCAGTCAGCCCAAGCTTTCCCTGCTCGTACCCTGAAGTGTCTCCGGGAAGCTGGGCTCTTGCCCCTTTGCAGGCCTTCTCCGCAGCGTGGCCGTCATCTTCCCCCAGGCAGGCGAAGCGAGGTCTGGGCCTGACCAGGACACAGGACGCAGCTGGCTGGCTGTGGTGTCCACGGAGTCTGTAGCTGTGGACCCTTCCCTTTCAGACTCCCTGCTTAGCTGCTCCCGGGCCTGGCTCAGGGCTGCCAGCTGGGGGACTGTAGTCAGACAGTGGGCATCATGGCCATTAGCAGACGCCCATGACAGAGCACAGCTCTGAAGACACAAACCACTCTCAGAAGTCCCCGGGCTGCCACAGTCTGGCTCTGGCCTTATGCTGCCCAGCGGAGAACTGGCCACCTCACGCAGCTCTGCTAAGGTCCCCAAACTGATTAAAGGATCCCGGGTGTCCTGTGAGCGGGCCGCATAACTTATTCCCTCTCGCACTGGCCACTGTGGAGATGTTGCACATGATGGCACCCTTGGAAGGACACCTGTGAAGCGAGCTGTTTTCTCCCTGGTCACTTGGCAACGCAGGCCCTGGTCCTTCAGGCTTCAGACCAGCTCAGTCTTGTAGTACTGAGACCGTGAAGTCCGAGCAGTGCTGTTGGGGCTGAAGGTCACTGCCGAACACTGCGTGTGAGGAACAGGCACAGCGCACGAGGTGCTGTAACTAAGCATGCTTAGTGCCTCCTGGGCGGTGTCTCCTGTCACCGCGTGGCACCTCTCAGAGCAAGGTATTATTTTCACACCCAGCTTGAGAAGGTGTGCAGGGACTCAGGCCCTGCCCGTCTCCACCCAGACCCTTCCTCACACGCATGGGGCTGGGCTCCTCCCCAAGTCGTGGCGACCAACACAGCCACAGCTGGTGTCCTCAACATGTGGCATTGAGCTGGTCAGAAGCAGCCTCCGTCCCCCTCCTGTGTGGACGCAGGAGAAACGCCTGCCTCCTGCCCAGTCATCGCAGGTGTTTGTCATGGGACGCTCAGCCCCTGTCACACGATGGCCGGGGAGGGCCACATCCTCGACGCCCAGTCTCAGGCCACCGACCCCACCTCCAGGACTGCACCCTTTTCTCTAGTGCAGTACCGAGTCCTGTGGGTGGGTGGCCCTCCTTGGTGGACGTCCACGGCAGCGTCTTACCAAAGCCACACAGGAGGAAGGGTCTTCCTTGCGGGCTGTCGATAACATTGCCACGGTGTGTTTAACAGCCCTTTTCTTTTGCCCGCAGAGCTCTCCTGCTTTTAGGTCCTTCCACGATTAAGCATCCTCAGGGAAAATTAAGCTGTTGTTTTTTGGTTTTTTCTTCATTGAAGGAATCTGTTTCCTTTTTGGGAAGGAGCCTGTTAGTCTGTCACTCTAATATTTATTACTACAGTACTTAAAGGGCTCCATGCCTTATTGACAAAGCTACTTGGAAGTGTTATCTCCGTCATCGTTACTGCTAATCCAGGCTGGTGAATTTCCACAGGGTGTGTGCGAGTCCGCAGCTCCGGTACCTGGCAGGGGACCCCTGTATCACCTGGGGTCCTTCCCACCTGGGACTCCATGCATCTGTGCTGCACCGGCCACATGTGCGAGCGTCCCAGGCATCCATCCCTCCAGGCCTACGCCGTGGGCTCTGGGTGTGGCCGGGCCCCTGGCTGATTTGAATATCTTGTGAATTTGAGAGTCCCTGCCTTGGGGACTCATAGCCCTGGGCTCTACACAAAGGACACACGATGTAGAGATGTACACACCGTTTTACTAGAAAAAGCCTGAGAAGACTCAGATCTGTCCGTTTAGGGTGTGATTGGTGTATTGGGGTTTTCAGTAGGGAGCAGCGCCACTTAACTAGAGATAGCTCAGCAAAACTTTTAAACACAGAGAATCTGCTCCATGCTCTGAAGCCACGTGGACTCCTCCAGCATGACCACACACCATCAAGCAGATTGATTTTTGGAGTGATTTACACTTCCCATTGATTATGAAAATGCAAAGAGCCTGCAAAAGCTGGGGTATTCAACAATCAATTTTGCGATTCATTTTGGGTTTGTGACCGACAGTGGTCCAGGGAGCAGTCAGAGGAGGACAAGGTGGGTACAGATCCGCCCAAAATTGTAGCCAGAAATGATGGTTGTCAGGAGCGTAGCACATCTGCCTTACCAGGTGCCTCCAATGCCAAATAACGTGAATCCTCCACACAGGTGGCTCCCAAATTCCACTGACTGCTGTCTTGGACCAGACTCAAAACAGGTGAAGAAAAGGCAACTGCAGAGATGCTCGTGCTTCCCCCTATTAACTGCATGTTTCTTCCTGTTCTGCCAGGCTGTCTCACCCACTTAAAAGTCCTGTTTGTTTTTGCAGGCATTCACAGAGACACAGAAGAAAAGATTGTTGTCATGGAAACAGCAGGTGCAAAAGCTCTTCCGGTCTTTCCCTCGGAAAACCCTCCTGGACATATCAGGGTACCGACAGCAAAGAAAGTACGTTGGGATTTCATCCTGCAGGGTGCACTGTGGAAACATCAGCTGCCTGCCTTACTTGCAGGACAGGGAGGTGACAGAGGGGACGCTATTCTTGCTCATGAGGCTGCCCCGTGGCCAGTTCCATGCCATTCCTTAAACACGCAGGGCTGGGGAGAGGCTCTCAGGGAGCGAGCGGAGCCTGAGTTCATGGGCGTCAGCAGGACACGGGTGGCTGACTCACGAAGGGGGCTCTTCCATCAGCACCTTCAGTGGTAGTGTAAGTTTTTCTCCCTCTCTAGCTGCAGACAAGCTAATTATAGTTGGTGGCGGGGTGAAGAGCCCAGTGCTGGTCTATTTTGGTCTGAGTCGAGGTCTAAGAGAGCAGCAGTACCATGCTTGATTCTTCATAGTACTTCAGCTTCTTGGTTGCGTTTAAAAATAAGCCCGCTTGTACTTGGGACCTGCTCCCTTCATATGGCTTTAAATGGAGGAACCCGGTTGCATATTAAAGGTGAACTGCAGCTTCACAGTAGAAAGGAAGCGAAGCAGGGGGTGTTTAAGTATCAAACAACGATAGGGAGCCACTGGGGAATGGGAAAGCAAATACCCTGAAAATAATCCCCATTCCATGTTACATTTTAAAACACGAACGGATAAAGACTTTACTCACACCTAGTGGGTTCTGAAATAATTTCATGTCTCAGAGCATGTGTAGAAGATCTGCATTATTAAAATTGGGGGCAATTATTTGCATCAGTGTGCCTTAACACTTCACTGTTTCGTATTATTTAAAGGAAATAAGACCAACTGGAGTTTGTGCAAAGTCTTCATGCAAGACTTATTTAATGATTAGTGTTATCGGGGGCCGGGGATTTAGCTCAGTGGTGTTGCACCTGTCTCACAAGTGCAAGGTCCTGAGTTCAGTCCCCGGTACCAGAAAAAAAAAAAATGAGTGTTATCATCACAGGAGCCCTTGTTATTTAGTAGGCAAACGTTTATTTATCACATACTACGTTCCAAATAGTACGCAAGCCCTTGAATGTTGACTTCATCCTTGAGACAAACCTATGGGATAGAGCTGCTGGGACCTCAGTCTATAGGTGGCTCGGTAGGCAGGGGTCGCAGCCAGCGCTAGCCCTGGAAGGAGGCCCTGCACCACTGCAGCGCCAGCGACCCTCATGGTCTCAGGCAGATGTGCAGAAAGAGCAGATCCAACAAAGCTGTTGCTGACGCCCTGGCCGAAGCCTCTGGGATGCCAGCCCGGGTAGATGTGGTGAGACCACCGCCGTGGGGGTACCCGGTTCCCCAGACGAGGGGGAGGCTTAGGCAGCCCCCAGGCCGCATCCTGTGCTCTTCCCTCCTGCTAACCACAGTGTGATCTCCCATGTAAGGGGAGGAGGCGCCACCTCTGCCTGCACTGAAGGCATCTTGAAGCTTTGCTCCTCCTCTCCAGAGGCCCTAACCCTGGCTCTATCAGCCCTGCTTGGGGGCGGCGTGGGCAGCTCACCCGGACTTCTCCAGGGCGGCACCAGCTGTGGCTTGGACTGGGCTCAGCCCAGCGCTCCAGGCTGGGGTCCTGACGGATCCCTTTCTGCTGACAGTGGATTCGGTTGTCAGCTGTGGACATTGAGCTGGATGTCACTAAAACCCTGGAAACTGTTCTCCTAAGCATTTCCTCTGGGATCTTTTTATTCTATTAATTTTCTTTGAAAGACCTGCTTCTCCAATAATGCAAAAGTAACTGCAGCCCAGCCCCTGCTTGAATGATTGCAAATCCCAAATTAATTGCTTCTTATTAATGTTGTTTTATCAAAGATTTTTCATGCACCATAAGCTAAAGGACTCCGTTAGATCTGGCGAGAGACAGAACAGGAAGATGAGAAAGGAGAGCTTGCTTCTGTCGCTCTGTCAAGCATAACAATCATAAGTAGCCTAGGTGCTCAGGAAATCCCCCCACCCCAGAATGTGCTACTCCCCTGTCCCAAATAGCCAAGTCCTAATTCTAGGAGTCCCAGGACCCCTCGTTTCCCCAGTGATCGCCCTGTCACAGATCTTCTCTACATTATAATGCTTAAGAACATGTCAGGCCCAGTGGTGCGCACCTGCAATCCCAGCACTGAAAAGGCTGAGGCCAGAGAAGCACCGTGAGTTCAAGGCCAGCCTCAACTACACAGCAAGACCCCATCTCAAAAAACCGCAAAAACAAAAAACAGCCTTCCTGGAAGCACACGTCCTTTTTAGCCATACTCATTGACTACTGAGTGTCTTGCATATGAAATAACTTTAAAAATCTAACCAAAAAGGAAAGTGAGAACAAGCTATCCAGGCTAAATCAGGAAAGATCTTAGCAGAGTACTGAATCAGCGACCAGGTGGCCAAACTCCTGACTCCAGAAACCCACGGGCCGCAGCCTGGGTCCCTGGCCACCTGCAGGACCTCAGAGTGCCCTGCCCGCAGAGGAGGCCCTGTGCCCACTGAAGACACTCCGCCCTCGCCTGGCCCGCACATCCAAAGTCCGCAACCGATGAGCAGCACGGAGAACCTGTTGAGCTAAGCTTCCAACCAGAATCCAGAAGTCTCCCTGGCCGCAGAAGCCTGGAAGTGGAGAGACACAGACTGGAATTCTCTTCTCTGCCCCCTTCCCCCCCAGGAAATTTAGGAATCCTGGGGAGAGGAGGAGCATTTTCTGAGCCGAACCGCCCCTTTCCCCCACACCACACGCGCACACCCCCTTGCTCAGGAAGTGACTGCTGTGCCCTGGCCCTCTGAGCCCCGCATAGCTACGTCACCGCCGCCGCCAGGATCCCCGACAGGCCGGCCTGCTCCATCTAGCGGCCACCAGCGGGAGCGGCCCGACCTCGGAGAGACTCAAAGCTGACTCTCTCGGAAAGAATGTGCTGGTTCCTGCAACCCCGCTGGCCTGCAGCCTCCCAGAACCAGTCCTGGTGAGTTCTTGAGCGCTGAGCTCACCGGCCCTGCCAGGGGAGTGTGGAGCCTCCCCGGCACTGTGCGGGGAGGGCCTGGCGAGGGGGACAGGCGTGTCCCGGTCCAGGCACTTGCAAGCACCATCATCTGTTGTCCCCGGGACGCGGCCACTGCCCCTCTGGACAGTCCCATGGTGGCAGAGACGCCCTGCATGGGCCAGTCACCGAGCAGGAGCTGATCGGCCGTGGGCCACCCAGGATGGAGGGGACATCACAGAGCCACTCTCCTCCCAGCCGCCACGATCAGAGATGGACCACAGTGCCCTCACCCAGCGCAGCACCACAGGAGGGGACACCCTGGGAAGGCTGGAGAGGGTGCGGCTTACCGCGCTGGGCTCCTGGCTCAGCGCTGCCCCCTGCTGGCTGTGTGGCTTTGGTAAAATTACTAAGTTCCCTGTTTCCCTTCTCCAGCTCATCAAAGATGACCCTGAATACTTACACATTTTTAAAGACTACAGTCAAAAATACGAATCCCTCTCAAAATCCTTCCCTTCACTTCAAACACACTCATCCCATTGTTCTTACCGCTGTCTGAAGCAGCTCTGGAGTCCTCTTTCCTGAGTGTCTTTAGTTGCACGCTGTGGTGGCTGCCTTGATGTCCTGCATTGATTCAGAACGTGGAAACTTCACGGTCGTCATGACTTTGGGGAAGAGCCGGAAGTGACATGGCGCCAGGCCTGGCGGATGAGGTGGATGAGACACCGTGTTGTGTTATTTGACAGAAAGTGCTGTAAACGGTTGAACAGTGAAGTGTGATCCAGAAAAGACACTGCCATCCATCCCCCTCCAAATACTCTGCATCTCTGTGATACACTTACTCCATCCTTGGCAGTGTGCTTTTCCTGTAATAAGGGTTTTTTAGTTAGAACTTAGAGGGTCGAGGTCTAGGATAGGGCCTGGGCCACTCACCACTCCGTGTAGCTGCTGTGCCCGTCACGGCCTCTCCCTGGCACAGAGCCGCCCCTGACTGCACCTGGGATGTGGCAGGACCAGACGGACTAACATCTCGCGCTCTGTCCCTCTTGCAGCCGCGGCTTTGGGCAGTCCAACTCCCTCCCGACAGCCGGCTCTGTGGGCGGAGGCATGGGCAGGCGGAACCCGCGCCAGTACCAGATCCCCTCTCGGAACGTTCCCTCTGCCCGCCTGGGCCTCCTGGGCACCAGCGGATTTGTCAGCTCCAACCAGCGCCACACTGCAACTAACCCCACCATCATGAAACAAGGAAGACAGGTTGGTTCTGTCCCTCGGGGCCGGGAAGGTGGCCTGGCCTTCGGACTGTCCCCAGATAGCCCAAAGGTGAGGGACAGTGGTTTGTGGCGTTTCCCTGACATGCACAGCAAGCCGCTCTGTGTTAGTCTCAGAGAACAGCAAATGGTACCTTTAGAAAGACCTGCCTCAGCCTCCTAGAGTGCTGTGATTACAGAAGGGACAAACAGCTCTTAGCTCAAGATTCTCAGCTGTGAGAAGCCACAGGAATACGGCTGAGAGAAGATATGTCCCCAGCTGGTCAGGGTCAGGCTAGAGCTGACCTCACTATCCCCCAGCCCCACTGGCTGGCACTGGGTCAGCGAGACAGGAAGGGCCCAGGGCTCTGAAGCCCCCAGATCAGTCCAACACTATTTGAGTAGGACCAGCCTGTTGCTGCCGAGAAATTCTGTTCTTCTCCTTCTCCCTCCAGTAAATGGCAAGAATCTCACAAAGAAAAACCAAACGAGGGCCTTGAAAGTCTGCACTGTTCATTGCCAGCATTTCCCCAGGCCCCCACACTTCCTAGAAAAATGACAGGGAGGAGCGAGAGCTGTGGAGCAGTGTGAGACCTGATGCCCGGGCAGACGGAGTGAGCCAGGCCGGGGCCCGGCCTCCAGTTCTCCTGGGATCTCCGCCCCAGGTCTGGCTGGGCCCTGCTCCCTGCCCCAGGCGTCTGGACTAGCAGCCCCTTCTGCATTTTTCCTAGAACCTCTGGTTTGCCAACCCCGGCGGCAGCAACAGCATGCCCAGCCGCACACACAGCTCGGTGCAGAGGACACGCTCGCTGCCCGTGCACACGTCGCCGCAGAACATGCTGATGTTCCAGCAGCCAGGTATGTACCCCGGGGCTCCCGGGGAGAACACTCAGCCTCCCTGGTCACGAGAGGTCTTAGGAGCTACCGGGAGTCTTTCCTCTGTTAAACTGCACCGCACCAGCCAGACCAGTGGCTGCTTGGCACCGTAGGATCTGATGCTACTCGTATTGCTAGTTTGATTAAACCAAAGGGATCACCAGGGTTCCCCGGCAGAGAGAGGAAATGTGTTTGTGTTGACACTGGTCTGGGGTGGCCTTGAGAAGCCAGGACTGTTGGAGCAGTGTCAGGAGAGCGGATCGCCATGCCTCCTAAAGCAGTTGGAGTTAGACATGGCCATCAAATCATTGCCTGCAGTGACCTCACAGAGCCACAAAGCAGTCCTCACACCTGTCTGGATGCCCTCCATCTAGATGCGGCAACCAGAGATAAGTTGTCCCCCAGGGAAATACAGCAAGTCCTGTAGGAGCCTGGGAAGGGAAGGGTCCAGTGGCCCTGCTGGGCAAGGAAACTTGGCATTGAAACTGCACATCCAAGAGGTGGGAAGGGAGGAGAGAGGGCAGGCAGGGTGACAGGGCAGGAGCCCAGGGCCCAGAGCGTCACCGCGTGTCTCAGAAGCCAAGGCACCTGCAGGGACCAGGGGAGCTGTTAGGACGCAGCTGGGTGTGGGGCTCAGGGGAGAGCTGCACCGGAAGTGGGGAGGAGCTGCCGCAGGAGGTGAGGGCCCACCCAGGGAAAGCCAGCCGCCACACAGTGGCCTTCTCAGTATTTCCTACCCCGATTGTTCTCTCCCGCGTCCCTTTCCCCAGCCCTCCTCTTTGTTCTCTGCTTTCCCCAAGTCTTCCCCGCCTTAGTTGGGAAGACCAGGCCCAGGCAGCCCCCACCTAAGACGAGGCTGTCTTGGTGCTTTGGCCCTGTCATGGGTTCTGGAAGGCAGCTGTGCTCACCCCTGTAGCACCGAGGCCACACTGTCATGGTTCTGGACCCGTCCCTTTGGACTCCCCTCCCCTGGGAGCTCCTTCATATCAGCTCCAAGCTACCACCCCACCCGGGGGCAGCTGGGAGCCTTCGTGTTTTTGCCTACTTCACGCGAGGCCTCTTGTTCCCATGGCTAAATAACCGAGTACTCCAGCAGGTCCACTGAGGCAGGACCGCCCCTCTCCCCCGTCCCAGCCCCGCGTTCCCCGGCAGCACAGCCCACTTCGTTTGCCCTCAGCCTTTCTGCAGCCTAGTTGCCTCCAGGTGTCTAAATACATTCGCTTTACTTGAGGAGCGGAGAATTCCGAAGTGCTTGGGGTTTTGTCTGTTTTAAACTCACCCCCCCTTCCTCAACCATTACGAAGCCACCTCCAGCCAGGCCTTCCTGAACTGCAGCATTTCTAAGATTAGGCCAAGCCCAGTACCAGGGTCAGTCTAGCTCACCTGGTGGGTGCCTGGAGCCGTCCCAAATCCTGCCACACGCAGTCTGCATGCTGGGTGGCTCCTTCTGGGACTCGGCCACAGAGACCCCTGGAGAGAAAGGAGGCTGCGGAAGGCTCTGCCGGGGGCACTCTCCTCGGCCTTTGTCCAGGCTGCAAGTGCCTGCCCTCCCTTGCCTGTTAGGCACGGTCGTCAAGACCGGTGTCACCCTGTGAGCTTCCTCTGCTTCTGGAAGAGGTGACCTCCTCCACAGGGATGGCGCCTCTCCCCTCCACACCGATGTCCGGCGTCTGGGACTTCCGGGAGGACAGGGTGGCTTTCATCTTTACACAGAGAGGAGTTACAGGAAACACAGACTGAAAGATAGGCGTGGTGACACGCCTGTAATCCTAGCCCTTGAGAGGCTGAGGCAGGAGGATCACTGCAAGGTCCAGTCTGAACTCTACATAGCGAGACCCTGTCTTAAAAACAAAAACAGCAAAATGAAGAGGATTTTGACCAATCCACGATCCAAACTTAAACATTCAGAAAACAGCCTTGCAGTAAAAGGTTGTTTCCCCCCAGCCCTCAGATGCCATCAAAGCATTTATTTCAAATCACAAGGGCAAATCTGGAAGACAACTATGCATTCAAAGGGAGTACCGATTCTATGAACTTAAACACAGTTCCACCTTGACAGAAGCCCTTAAATTTTATCGCCAAAGAGTACAGGGCACCCTGGGTTCGGGATCAGTGATCAGCCACCCTGTTCGGATTTCCAAACACTTCCCTCTTCCTGACTCCACAGCCCAAGGCCCCCTGGAACCGAAACACCTCACTGGCCTCGGCCGTGAGTGAGAACACTTGGCTGGGCCACCGGGGTAAGGGAGAGGAGACCTCAGGCACTCAGCCAGGGGCTAACGTGAGCTTGAAATGAGTGTGGAACCCAGCAGGAAGGGGTTCCCCGGTTGGCGAACTGCGTGGAGAGTGGCCCCTTATCGGGGAGCAGATCTGTCCCCTCGACCCAGCTCAGCTGCCCTGGGATCCAGGCAGAAAGATCCTGGCAGGGCTCTGACCTACACTCAGGCCACCGAGGCTCCTTGCCCTGCAGTAGCTGATGGGAAAGGACAGACCGACCTGAACAGGTGGCAGAGAAAGCCACCGGGAAGGCACAAAGTAACCTCGCCCTTCCCTTGTCCAGAGCCACAGTGTTCTAACAACTGGCCGGAGCTCCTCCACATTGGAACACGGCAAACCCCAAAACACAGGGCTTGGCTGTGTGCCTGCTGGGCCTTCCAGGAAAGAGCCTTTAGGAAGCCCAGGGTCTTCACAGACTTTTCCTTCATGGCTCGAGAAGTGTTCAAGAGGCCTCCAGACAAGAGCTGTTCCTCCCGTGACGGCCTCAAGGGTACGATCCACTGCTCTTCCTCCTCTGTCTAACCCCTTTCTGGGGATGCTCTTTGTTTTTTCTTGTCACCCCCTCTCCCTCTCTTCCTCGTATCATCATGGTAGTCCAGATCCCTCGTCCCCCTCCAGGTTGCCCCACCTTCCCTGCTTTCTCTCCCTTCAGCCTTTCTCTTTACTCCACAGAGCAGGCTCAGCTTTGGTGGCAAAGTGAGGTCCAGAACCATCCCCGATGCCCTGGCCTGTCCCTCGCTTTAAAGTCCTAAATAAATCTGCTTCTCACACTCAGCCTCAACCCCTTGCAAAGGGCACTGCAGAACTATACCTTGAGTGCCATGGATGTGACACTCAGCAAGCCGCACGGGCTCCTCGGGCAGACCCTGCACCAACATCTCTTGGGGAGTGGGGAGCTCTTCCCTCCCGGCGTCGTCATGACCTGGGCCGGAGATTGGACCACTGTGTTCTTGTACTGCGTCTGAAAAGGCACAACTAAGAAGACTTGAGGTGGCCTTTGCCCTGGGAACCCTCACTAAACTGCTGAATGGTCCGATGGTAAGGAAAAGAAGAATTCCTAGCTGCCTTCGTCACTTTCTCGTTGCTAAGACACAAACCTGACACCCTCGACCTACAAGGAAAGGCTTATTTTATCTCCATCTCTCGGTCAGCTCCAGGGTGGAGTGAGCACTGCAGAGGGGCCTGGCGGAAGACAGCTGCTCACGGCATGGTGGCCAGGAAGCAGAGTGAGGGGAAGGGAGACACACCCGCTCCCAACCGCAAGTCCTCTCTCAGCACCACAATCCAGCCACCTTCCAGTCCACCTTCTTGGTCCAAACCGTAACACTAGAACACCAGAACTGAATTCTGTGTCCAAAATGCTTGGAACTAGCATGTTGCAGACATCAAGAGTTTTTTGGGAGATTTTAAAACATTTGCATTGACTTTACCAATGCAGCAAGCCTAACCTAAAAATCTGAAATGCCTCAAAATCTGAAACTCTGGAGCGTCGTGACTGCGTGCACGGTTTTGGGTGGAGGTTTTGAGATTAGGGCTGCTCGGCCTACACTCGGAGCTGCGCATGAGCTGAAGGGCTGCCCTGCTTTATCACCACAGGCGAGGGCGGCGGGGGTCTTTCCCCTTTGCCTCGCAGCTGTGTCTGCCCGGGCCGTTCCAGCTGAGGCTGGATTCACGACAGAGCCCTCGGGTTTAGTAGCGATGGCAGAGGCGGCCTGGCGCTTCGCGTGGCCCATGGGCCAGCAGCTGCCCGATCTCCCTCTGCATCTTTGGTGAGGGCTCCGCCCACCACGCCACACACAGCTGAGATTTGCAGCCTGTGGTGGAAGCTGCCGTCTACCCACTCGTCTTCCTCTGTGTTCTGTGCACGGCGAGATGCCGTGGATCTGTTTTTATCAAACACACAATTAAAAAGTCACACTATTAGGAAACTCTGCAGTGGGAACATATGGGCTTCTCCCGAGAGAACTGCTCGTAGAGTGGCAGGGGTCACAGCTCCCCAGTGCAGAGCCAGGGACGGCAAAGCAAGCGCACCACCTCGCCACCGAAAAGAGCAGCCACCAAGGCGTGGAGACTTTGGAGCACAGCGCCCCGTGTTTCTCAGCCCCCTTTTCGGAATGAGCAATCCCGAGCTTGGAAAATGGCACTTTGCTGCGTACTGGCAGGAAACCCTGCCGCTGAGACACTTCTCTGCAAATGTCGAACATCTTTATTTATCCAAGTCTCTCCACAGTGTTTGTTTAAAGGGGAGCGCTAGAGAGTAAACGAAATCTTACAATGAGCATATGGATGGGTATAATTGCTGAGGTTTGTGTTTTTCCCCATATTTGCTAACTAGCTATATATAAAATTGTGTTTCTATTTTATAGATTTCACACCCCAAAGGCTAATTTTTCCCTGCATATGATTTTCACATGAATGGATGAAAATACGAAAATACTCTTCCCTCTGGGACTGTCAAGATCAACTAGTGGGTGGGAGCGGGAGAAATTCCTGCCACTGTTGCTGGCTCCCCACCTCCCTGGGAGCTTGCGTGGCCCTGTCCACTCGGCACAAACTCAGTCTGCACCCCCGTGCCTGCCCTGTCAATTCATTTTGCCAGACTTCTCTTTGAGCATTTTAAATAACGAAACAACATCTGCTGCTGGACTAGCTGGGAAACCCATATTGCAAAAGATCTTAAGTCAAAGGAAACAGATACTTGGGTTTACCCACAGGTTTCAACTTCGGGTCCCACCAAACCACCCACCCCATAAGTGTGCCCCCTGGTGGACAAGTGAGGAAGCAGGCAAATGGCCTGAAGTTGCCTCCACCCCCACCCCGGGAGTTTTCCCCTGTTGTTTTCACAGGGGAGGAACCGAGGTGGGAGAAAGGGAACTGCGTGGCAGGGTCACACAGGAAAGCAGTGGCAATGCTGAGACTTCACAGTCACCTGGAACAGACCCCAGGGCTTTCTTCCGCCTCCTTCCGTAGGATTGCATAGTGTTAGCCGCCCACTTTGATCCATTTTTGCAGGGTGTGAGCAAATCATACAGCGAATGTTCCAGCGATTGAAACTGTGTTACAGTGATCAGCATTGCCGTGAGGCCCCTCGGGAACACCCCGCCTGCTTCCCAGGGGTCTCGCCCCTTTCTACCGCCGCTCTGGAAGTCCTCGTTCCTGAGAGACTTGAGGAGGCCGGATCAAAACACAGCGAATGTGGCTGCCGAGTGCCATCCCACAGAAAGGCAGCCTCATAAAAACATCTCCCTGGGTCCTCACTCACTTAATTCACCAGGTCGGGAACCATGCAACTTCTGGTTCTTCCCCAAACCACAATGACCGTGAAAGGGAGGCGTATTGAATCGGTTTGGGACATTAAGGCAGCCAGGACAGCACAACTGAAGACCCTCCAGAAAGAGGACTCCAGAAGTGCTTCAGAAAGCAGCAGGAACATTGGGATGTGTGTTTGAAGCCAGGGGGAGTATTTTGAAGGGCATCGGCAGCAGTGTGCCTTGTACTGCGGTAATTTTTTTTTTTTTTGTACCAGGGATCAAACTCAGGACCTTGCACTTGCAAGGCATGTGATAAATTTTTAAAATGTAATCATTCACCATGTTTTTTTATCACAGTGCGTATGAATCAGGTGGAAGCCAGGGCTTTGTGTTACAGGAGATGTGGGATAGGAAAGATGCTCACAGGCCCCTTGGGGTTGGGGGCAGGGCCATGCTACAGGGAGGGCCCAGCAGGGAAGAGGATGGCTCGGGGCTGCCCCCAGAGGGAGGGACACACGTCCCCTGGAGCGGGATGGACATCTCATTCTGCCCTGCTCCGGTGCCTGGAGTCTCAGGGTGGGGACAGCCACTCACGGTCAGCATGGCCTGCAGGAGGTCACTGGCTCTGGGGACCCAGGTCTTGTCCCCATGCCCTGTTAGCTGCTGGCCTCTCCCATACCCACCTGGGGATTGGATTTGCCCTGCTCACTAAGCAGGTAAAACAAGAGATGTGCCAAGCCTGCATCTGGGCACCAGACCAGTTCACTGTGTCTGTATCTGTATCAGTAGAGGCTACGAGGAGAAAGCAAGGAAAGGGATCAAGTGCAGGGGCCAGGGGCAATACCGTACTGTTCACATCTCCTGACAAAATCCTTTCTGAGGAGACAGCGGAGCCCGCTCTGCAAAGGCAGGAAGAGCCTGAGCCAGGAGAACATTGGTGGATTGGCATTCTGGCCAGAGGGAACTGCAATGCAAACGCCCTGGGGTAGGAGAGAGGGCTTGGGAGGGAGCAGGGACAGGGGAGAAGTAAGGAGGCAGTGAGGTGACAGAGGCCAGATCCTGTGGGACCTTGCAAGCCTCAGCCAAGGTTGGCTCTTGTGGATGGGTCACACTGGAGGTTTCTGAGTGGCAGTGATAAGACCATGACTGAGCAGCTATTTTTAGTGCCTGGTTTTCTTCCAGCACCTGTGGCCACAGTGCCGAGTATGACAGCAGTTGAAGCTGACGTAACTTGTCTTTCAGGCTGGCTCTGAAGGCCCCCTGTGTCCTGCTAGGGCGGCCTCGCCTGGCGATGCAGCCTTGTGGCGTCACATACTTTCTCCTGTCCTTCGCATCCCCGTCACCAACACCACCTTTGTCCCTGCAGAATTCCAGCTTCCCGTGACTGAACCTGACATCAACAACAGGCTGGAGTCCCTGTGCCTCAGTATGACCGAGCACGCCCTGGGAGGTGAGTGTCCTCTCCAGCCTTGCTCCCCGCCCTGTGTGCCATCTGACCCAGGTGGTGGCAGCTCGGGAATGGGAAGGGGACCTGGAGGGCTGCTGGGGACAGAGGAAGGGCAGACGTGGATGACCTGCATCCAGCCACGTCCTACCCCATGGCTCTCTGCCCTGCTCCAGAGATACAGCCGTGCCCCTGGCCCCAGCAGCTTGGCCCCAGTTGTCCCCAGGAGCTGGAGTGGCTTTCAGTGGGCACATCTGCCACGGCACTGGACACTTCCCTACTCGGCTCTGGGTCCCCAGGCCCAGCCAAGGTACCCCAGCAAGCTCCAGAAATAGTTTCCATTTCTAATTTCCTGTTGCGAGCGGTTTCCGTGACGCCTGGAGCCCCAAGCAGCCAGAGCTGTCCTCGCCGTGTCTCGGACAGGTCAGCTGCGCCTGTCCCCAGCCGGGCCTGGAGCACAGGCTCTGTCCGAAGCCCTGCTGCAGCTGTCCTGGGAGCCGTCCTGCGCTAAGCCCCTCTCACCAGCTACAAATCTGTGGACAGGAAGCAGGCAAGGGATGGGAGCGATGCCTTCCCCTTTCCTCCAGCCCTCTCCATGCTGCACACACGTTCCTGCTCCAGCACGGGCCACCACCACCCACCTAGGGCTGAGCCCTGTGTCCTGTCAACAGCTTCCACTTCAGACAGCTCTGTCCCACAGACCTGGGGGTTTCCGAATTCTAGTCCCTGCAAACACGATCTTATCCCGAACCCAAATATGAAAGAGATACATGCCCTGCGTGGAGCAGAGTGGAGGTCTGGAGCGACAGCCACCTGACTTCAGTACCAAGAGGAACCAGAGTAGAGCCACGGCACCCAAACGGGTGGAGAAAAGACCCCATCTCTTCTGTGGCTTCCCCCAACCCTGGGGTTCCTGGGAACCCCCTCTGCAAGCCACTGATCTCTGTCTGTCTCTCTCAGGCCATTCAGGTCCTAGACATCTCACAGCCTCATTGGGCCATTCCTGGTACCTCTGCCTTAGCAAGAAGAGGTCCCCCAAAGGTCCATCAGCAGGTGGACAGGAACTCGGGAAATGCAAGGCATAAGAGGCCAGAGTGTCAGAGCCTGTTGGCATGAATCGCACAGCCTAAGTTGGTCAACGTCCAGATTAGTGTCACAGGAGCTGGGAAGGTGGGACTGGAGTGTGACGGGGGGAGGAGGAACAAGAGCTCTCAGGGATAATGAAAATGCTCTGGAATTAAAGAGCGCTGTTGCTCATATGGCTCTGCAACTATGCAAAAAACCAGCATGAAATTTATGGTCTGCAGCTTTGTCGATTTAAGCTTTTCAAAGGAAGTGATGGTGTTCACGGGCATGAGTTAGGACAGCGGCTCCTGAGTCCTCATGCAGGCCCCAGCCCAGGTCCTCCTGCCCGAGGGATGGGGAGCCGGCTCCGTGGGGAGTCCGAGGGGCCGTGGCCCTTTTTCCCCTGGTTTGGTGGAGCTCTGGTAATTGGCGTTTGGAAGACTTTCAGACTGCTACGTCCTGACATTACCAGCATCCGTGGTGAGAAGGCTGAGTGCTCTTTATTAAGGGGACGTCTCCATGGAAAAGGCTTTTTTTTTTAACCTGCGCTCCTATTTTTACAGACTGCCTCTCTGAACTGATGGAGTTTTACTAATATTTTCATCTTGTTAATCACCTAAGCCTTTTTATTGCTGTGTTTTTTTCTCAATAATCCCCTCTGTTGGGAAGTTTCCTGAGCAGAGGATGCAGGTGAAGCCCAGCTGGCGCCGTGGCCACGTGTCTGTGGGTGCAGGGAGGAAGACTTTGGGGACAGCATGCCAACCAATCATCATTTTACAGAAAGACAGATGACTAGGGGCAGGAAAACAAAGTAAAAGCGGATCTCTGCTTGCAGCTGAGGAATGGAGGAAGAAGTTGTCCAGGAGGAAGAGGGGCATCATGTCCCAGGGCAGCCATTCTAGGAGGACCTCCAGGTCCTGCGTGCTCATAATGTGGGGCTTTCCTCAGTCTCCTCCAATAACTGCTGCCCTCCTGGTGCCAGGCCAAGCCAGGTTTCTTCTTGGCCTTCCCCATATCCTCTCCCTGAGGCCCCTCCAGCAGAACCAGGATGACATCCAGGTGGTGGGCGGCCTCCGCCATATTGGTTGACATCCTTTAAGGCTTCATCGAGTACTCTTGAGTTTGCTCCTGGGCCGGGCATTCAAGAACATAAAACACCACGTCTGGCCCTGGTCTTCCTCCTGCAGAGGGCCCTGTAGCCCAAGATACTCATGGCCGAGGGCTGTGTATAGAGTTACATGTGGTCCGCTCTCTGAGATGCTGGGATTCCCACTTATCTTGCTCTCCTCACCCCTTCCTTTGGACTTACCGGCTCCTAAAAACTGGAGACTGTAAATTCCTTTAGCAAGGCTCTGAGCTGGTGTTTGTTGAAAATGTCATGGTCCCATGGGCGTGCCGCCCCCTGGAATAGTCAGCACACAGCTTGCACAACAGTAGTGAGTTTGGACTCCCTCATTGGTCTTTTTCCAGCAGACGAAAACAGCCTTGGACAGTGAGTCCTGCGATGCATTTCCGGCTGGGTTAGTTGAGGTCTTTGTATTTCTAGCTCCACTTGTTTACAGTTACAGAGGTTTGGCCTCAGTGAGGTTTGGCCCCGCAAGAGTATGCACTGTGTTCCAGAGACAAGGAGAGTCCCCTGGCACACAGGACCTCTACAAGCACCCCTGGGCATGCACACACGCATGCACACACACACACAGACAAACACATGATCTCCCAAGACCATTACTGCTGCAAAACCACAATACTGAAGGCTCAGGGTGACCCTGCAGATGGTGAGGAGTTAGCAACTGGAAGTCCACACCTGTGGCCCTCTAAGATTGATACTGTCATTGCTCAAACACTTGAGAGCCACTGCTGCTTTTCTTAAAAACTTCTCCCCAGATTGCACAGAATTTAACATGAGTGCACACATACACACACACACATATGGGTAAAACTGGAGACAGCTGAATCAGATCACTGGGTTGTATCCAGCTTGGTGTCTTAACTGGGTTACTGTGCTGTCATTTTGCAAGTTGTCACCACTGGGGGAAACCTGGCAGGTTACCCGTGGGCTGTCTCCGGATCATTTCTTTACAGTTGAACATGAACCCATTATTATTCCAGTAAGAATTTCAATTAAAGAAGCATTTCTCCTCTAAGTCACAGCTGCCAACCAGGAAATTCCTGTGGTGGGCTCATTGCTCCTCCAGGCCTCTTAGCTCCCACCCTCAGCTTTTCCCTAGAACATAGTCCCACCCAAGTTCTGCCTAGTGAAAGATCTGCCCTGTCTTGTAGGCCAGCACTGCCATATTGGGGCTTGGATTGGGCCACGTTGGCTGGCTTGTGGTATCAGCAAAAGCTGGTAGGCACTGTGGTGCCCCTTAGCCTCAGCCAGTACTCACTAAACACAGTCCTTCCCCTTCCTGTGCTGGCTCATCTGTGCCTCTCCCTGCCCGCTAGACAAGCTCCTTATCAACTTCAGCATAGAACCTGTGGAGGGTCCTCCCACCTGGCCTTCCTGCCACCAGCCTTGTCCTTCCTCAAACCATCTGGCACAGCTGCCAGAGGAGCCACTGTAAAACCACAGCTGGTTCCTCTGCCGCTGGTCGTTCTCCAGCTACAGCATCCACACTCCTGTTCCTGATACAGAGACCCTTGGGCTGCTTCAGGGACTCCCGAGATGCTACGTAAGCACACAGCTCAGCCATCTCTCTCACTCATGGTCCCTGTGATGTGCGTGTCCCCCACTTGGTAGCATCAGTTCTCTTAAACAGTGGCCACGGCAGATCCTAGGTGGCCTTGTCCTCTCCTGCTCACACAGGCTCGCTCTCAGGGCCAAGAGACCACAACATCTACCTCTGTGGTTTCCTGCCTTTGATCAGAGTCATAGCACAGAGGGCGGATCAGTATGTGTCAGCTGTGTCTCCCTGGTCTGCTCAGTTGGGACCAGGGGACACTTCATCCCGTCTTCGGTGAGGGGGTCGTGCTTCAGGGATATGAACTATATCGGTCACTTAAGTGTGTATTTCAGCCCTATCTCCTGTCACTCGGTCCCCTATCCTTCATCCTTCATCATTAGTTACTTTCCTGTCCCTAGGACACAACACCAACCCTCACACCTTAAGGAATAAGCCTTATTTGGGGCTCACATTTCCAGTGGGTTCAGTTCATGGTTATCTGACTCCAAAGCAGAAACAGGATGGCAGAGGGCATAGTAGAGGAAAGGTATTCAACTCGTGGCAGCCAAGAAGTAGGAGAGAAGGGAGAAGCCATGGTCAACAATCTTCTCTCTCAGGTCACATCCCCAATCACCCACCTCCAACCGAGCCCCCCTTCCTAACAGCACGTCCACGAACTCATCCATGGAATGCCCGATGAGTACAGCATCCCTGATCCAGTTATCTTCCTCCACAACTCGGGGTGTTTCACATCTAAACCGTACAATCCTAAATCTCTGACCCAGCCCCACCATTTGATTATCGTCAAGCTCATGCGTGGGCCAAAGACCCTCTCCCATCACCCCCTCCTGCATCCTTCTTGCCTAGAAAATTCTTTCTCCTACCAGCACAGTCTCCAAAAGTCATTTTGCTCTCTCTGAATCTTTCCTTGTCTATGGCCAACTTAAAACATTCTCCCAGCCATGTTGTGTTTTGGTACATATTCCTTCATGCAGTGATCACTGACAGCTTCATCATCTCTGTAAGTGTCTGCATCCTGCCTAGCCTGTTAGGAAGTGAGGACCCTGTCTTCTCATCATGGCTCCCAGATTTAATGCATACCCCACACCCCCAGCAAAAGTAGCTATTCCTCAGATTTTGAATAGCATTTGTGAACTTACCCCTTATCAGTCTCCAGAGACTGGGGACTCACTGTGCATGGGATTGGTATCTGTGGCATCTTACATGTTGATGGAAAGATTTTGGTCACCTCTCACCCTTGTATGTTGCTTTCTTTCCCAGACGGGGTTGACCGGACCTCCACTATCTAGAAGATGAAGATGAAGATGAGAGGGACCACGCTGGCCATCAACGTGACTTCAGGGTTGCACAGAATCCTCCAAGATACTTTGCAGCCTTTTCCCCCTGGTCCCTCGCTCATTTTGATTTTGTGAGAGTGTAGGTCATCCTTGTAAACATATCAGTAGACCTGGGATTGGTTATGTTGTCATTTGTTTCTGTATGGGATGGTTTGGTGTGTGGGGGTTGGGAGGGGTCTCTAGGGAAATACGGGACTGGGAGGGGGTGGAGAGATGCAAGTGGCTTCCTAGGTGGAAATGGGGGGGGGTACTGCCATGAAAGAGAGGAGAGACAGGACCTGGGAGCCTTCTCAGAGGACCTGGCTTCTCCGTCAGGCCATAGGAGAGGATACACGTGACCAAAACAAGATGGCGGCTCATCTGTGTGTGTCTCCCCGACTGGATTTCCCTGAGCGGCCTGCTTAAAACAGCTGCACAAGAGGGCCACATGGCAACAGGGGCAAGAAAGAAGAAATTCCCTCCAGCAAAATTTCAGATAAACTTTGATTTGTGTATTGTTTACATAAGAATTTTAAAGGGTACATAATGTGTAAAGAGTTTGGGTGGAACTTCTCTTCATACTATGGTTTTTGTAAAGGATTTATTGTTATGGATTCATTTTTTCCCTCTATTTTTATAATAGCAGCAGGGTTGTCTTTTAAAACAGCTGCCAAGCTCTGCTTTTTGGGAAGACGGATTTAGTCACACAGGCCTGAGTTGTCGCCTCTCACCATTAAGGGGCGGAGCATGTACAGGGTGGGTTCGAAGGACAAGGATCTGACCTGAAAGAGCACAAGACTAGGCAAGGGCAGGGCAGAGGAGAAAGGCACCATGTGATCGGTGTCAGATCTGCTCACTGGGCACCCAGCGATTCTAAAGCCTGTAGCCTCTTTCTGGGCTGCATTTGCTTCTCATCTAAAGACCTCTGTCTTCCCTGCTATGGGCTTCATCCCAGCCTCTGGGCCTCACCCAGCGACACAGGTGGGTGCAAGTTCCCCTGGAGGAGGAAGGGCGCCGCCGGATGCTGTCGCCTTGCAGGAGGCCTGATACCTGGAGGATGTGCCTGAAATGTCTGCAGTGGCGTCGCTCATAGGAACCCGAGTCCGGGGGCCGCAGCCCCCTTGCTCTGGCCCTGCTGAGGAGGAGAGAAATGCCCAGCAGCAGTGTCAAGAGGGCCAGCCAGCAAGTATTGGAGTGCGGAGAGGCATCGGGCCACGTGGTCGGGCTCCACGGAGCAGGTGGGCAAGGAGAGCCGGAGGAAAGGTGAACTTCGAGACGTGAGCGACGGTTCCATCCAAATGAAGTGAGTCAGGTCTGCGATACTGTTTGCTGATTTCTCCACCCGCGCAGAAAGGCAAAAACCCCACCCGTTCTATGGTGAGAGAGTAACAAACCGGTACCACAGAGGAATAGCTCTGTTTCTTAAGGGCAAGACAGGCTGTTGCGAATTGGACGCAGCGAAAGGTATGAGGAAATCAAAAAGGAACTGTTCTCTGCACTGGAAAATTGGGTTGTGTACATGATGGGATGAATGCTCAGCTGGGAGAGCGATCGGGAGCTGGTATGAGGCCTGCTTATTAACTGGGTGAAATGGGTGCTTTTTTTCTTAAGAGTAGTCAGAGTCAAAATTAAAGAGATCAGACCATGGAAATTACTGTGCTTGCTGACGATTATTTTTATAAAAAGGAGTTATTGAAGTACACATAGATTTAAACAGCCTTGATAAAATCTGAACAACTTTTTTACCTTTAAGATTAAAAATGTATACCCAGCCCAGACGTGGATGCTGGGGCAAGACTTTCGAAGGCCTTTTGTAGTCCAAAGAGCTGAGAGCAAGCACCATAACCCGTCAGAGGCTTTGGTGAGCACAGGAAGTTGGAATCCATAATTGCACACAGTGCAGTTCAAAAAAGAAGCAAAAGCTTCCAGCCCCTCTGTGGGTCACCAGGTCCTAAAGACGCAGATCTGGGTGCAGAAGGAGGCAGCATGTTTTAGTGGATTTTTTTTTTTTTAACCAAGTGCCATTAACATCCATCCTGCCCATTCCTTGTCTACACAGCATGATGTGAGGAACGCAGGGATGGAGGATCGCATGTAAGGCGGGAAGAGCAGGGCAAGATGTCGAAGGCCAAAAGCAAGGCCAGAAGGTTTGAGCATGTGTTTTGGGGATGCTGAGGAAGCGAACAAAGAGGTGCGAAAACGAGGGTTTTACACGACGAGAAAGGAGAAGCAGTGTTTGTGTCCGTGGCGGAACCCATGCGTCTGTAAAGACTCATTCAGAAAACGGATTGTGAACACAATCACCTTAGCATGAATCCTTTAAAAGGAAGAAGACCTTAAAGTATTTGCCAATCTGAATTTCTATTTATTCCTTCACTGAATATAGAAGCAATGGTTATCTGATTATTAGAGATATTATTTTGGATATGTTACTTATTAACTTGCTATGGCTGGTAACCATGATAAAGTCTGTTATTAATAACAACATAATTCTTTTTTTAAAAAAAGAAAAAGAAAAGCTTATTTTTCATTGACTGTATAGATTTATCTACTTAGTTGTGTTTTGCTATATTAGTGTTTTAGTTGGGGTTTTTTTTTTTTCCTTTTTAAGTAGAGTGTTCTGATGAATTCTAGGAGCCCGTCCCCACCTTGTTTTGAGTCCTGTGTTGACTGCAGGTGTACAGCTCAATTTAAAAGTCCTAAAGCAAAAAGAATTTTATTTATAAAAGAATCCAACAGTTGCATGCCTAAGGCTGTGAAGTCGGATATTTAGTAATAAAACGGCAGTGCCTTTTTTTTGTATTTACCCACTGACCCCCCCCCATGCAACTGTTTTATATTAAGTAAATAGTACACCATTTAAAACTCTCAGAGTAAACTCTATTTCACTACACGGATTTCTCCCCCCTTGTTCTGATTTAAGCAGTGTGTGCCGGCATCTCTACGCTGTCCGAGGGGCAGCTGCGTATACGATCTTGTTACCATGTATGATGTTTTATTGGTGCTTTTTACTCATAGTAGTTTCTTACCAGAAACAGTAGGAAGAAACACATAAATTGTGTACAAGACACGAAACATGCTGCTGATATGTTGGGTTTTTTTGTTTGTTTGTTTTTTTTTTCCACTTGCTTTTTGAGTTTGACTTTTTCAGCAAGAGCCAGGGAGCCGAGTAAACTGTTGGGTTTGCCTGCCCCGGGGCGCTGTTGGCATCAAGCTCCCAAATCCTGGGGATGGTGGGTCGCTCCTAGGTACTCGGGATCGGAGCTACAGCCGGGCTCTCGTTCGCTTGCCGCGACACTGAGGGAAACCAGGTTTCCTTTTGAGGCGTCGCTGGCTGCCTTTCACGCGATGGGAGCCCGTCTTTCCGGGTCTTCGCTCTGCACTTCTCATAGCTGCCGCGTGTGCGAGGTTTGCAGATGCGAGTCCCCGGGAACCCGGGCTGAGGGCCACAGGAGGGCTGTGAGGGGAGGACACGCAGGCCCCGTGTGCCTCCCCCAGCTGTGCACCGCCGTCTGCCACGGCCTGGGTGCAGGGAGCGGCCTCCCGGAGACACCCGCTCGCTGGGGTGCACCTGTTACAAGCCGCACCCGCGGAAGGCTCATTTGCACATGGAGCTGTGATAACACTAATGTCGTGTTCTCTTGCTTTTTTACAAGTCATCAGAGATGTTTGCAAAGTGAGGTTTTCTTTTGTAATCCCTTTATCTTTACTTAAAGGTGAACGTGTATTCATTCCTCTGGGAGGGATAGGAAGAAAACAGGAATGTTAATAATGTCAAACAGAAGACTTCCTCCCTTATTAATATATAACCCTCATGTATTTATGCCTAAAGTAAGCTGACTTTTAAAAAGCTTTCTTTCGTTGCATGCCCCATGCAGGCTTCTGTATTGTATATGCATGCCTTTTGTCCTGTTTTTCCTGTATAAAGTTAGTGAACAAAGAAATATTTTTGCCTAGTTCATGTTGCCAACCAATGCATATTTTTAAAATTTGTCATATATGGAAAGAGCATGTTTGTCACATGTAAAAGCTTTACTGATATACAGATATACTAATGTTTGAAGATGCTGTTCTTTGCAAGTGTACAGTTTTCAAATGTTACCAGTGAAGCACCCTCGTGGTTTAAACTTGCTACAATGTATTTATTACTCATTTCCTCCCATGTAACGAAGAATCATGGCTATATTTCATATCAACGTTATATTGAAAGTGAAAGGGAAATGATTAATACAAGGTTTTGTAACACTGGTGTGTGTCCTTCTTTTCTTTTTGTCAGCACAACCAATCAGTAAGCAAGAACTGAGTCTTAGAATGAGCCGGCAAGAAAGGAGAAGCATGAAACCCTTTAACATTCTCCCTTGACCCTACTACCCAAACTGTCTTCCCATGTGAGCTACTATACTCCCTTACCGGCTTGGGAGAGGGGTATCGAAAATTAGGCAGTTTGATCTGTGCCCGGAAGAGCCAGTAAATGTCACTGCCCAAGTTAGGGGCAAATTTCTAAATCAAACTCTATAACCTTGCTGTGTACAGCACCCGCCCATCTTCACTGCCTAAATGTGTCACACCTTAATCGTGGTATAAAGAAATGGCAGCTTCCTGGGAGTTTTACCTCCCGATGGCTTGGGCTATCATTCAAATAATTGTAATTCTACCTTGCTATATAATACATATTGGGCTGGGGATTTAGCTCAGTGGTTCCACTGCCTGCCTTGTAAACACAGGAACCTGAGTTTGATCCCCGGTACCAAAAAAAAAAAAAAAAAAAAATCAAGATTATATAATATATATTAAGATAAGTTCTAAAGTTGAGCATATCGCTGCAGAACAGCAGGGTTTGTATTCTGGCCTTAGCGTTGTCCTATCTGTGTGAGCTTATAGAAGTTATTCAACCATATTAGTCACCTTTCCACCAGTTTGAGAAAATACCTGAAATACCCACTTTAGAGGAGGAATGGTTCATTTTGGCGTGCGACTTCAAAGGTTTCAATAAACAGCTAGGTCCAAGGCAGAAATACCATGGTGGAAGGATGTGACAGGAGAACAAGGAAGTGGCCAGGCACAAAATACACCTTTCAAAGTCACACCCATGGTGACGTGCCTCACCTGGTTAGACCCACCTCCTACTGAACACATTTAACTAATGAAGGCACCCATGGACTCATCAACCTGATGGAGTCAGTGACCTCACAGTCTGGCGCCTCTGCAGGCGTCTCCAGCCATTAAGTGGACACCCAGGGTTTCCTTTTGTTTCATTTTGGCCTGTGATATTCAAAGTTGATGTCATTAGACATCTAGTCCAAAAAAGTAAAAAGAAAAGAAAACATAGGCAGTAGAGATTATGGCCACCATCCCAGGGTTCTTGGAGGCAGCCACAGTTTGATGCCATGACAAAGACCACACAGGTGGCTTCCCTTTCTGCCAGCCTCAGCTGCTCCAGAGACGTGAGACGTCCAGACTATGCCCTGGAATCCTAAAGAAATGCCTCAGAAGCTAAGATCTCCTCATGAAGCTCCTCATAAAGTTGAATTCTAGGAACCAAATGAGCTGGAGTATTATAAAGGAAGATGAGATAAGCAAAGGAGAGAGTATTTGAACCTTGTCCCCAGGGGTTAAAAGAGCTAGGGCAGCACTTTTGTCAGCAAAAAGCTTCTCGATAGTCTGACCTTTCATGGAAAACAGCTTCAGACCGGACCACCCCAGGGTATCCACACTGCCTCCTCCCTCTTCCCAGCAGGCAGTGCCAGCACAACCATCTCACACAGGGTGTTCCACGGGCTTCTACAAGCTCTTCCCTTTTCTGTTTTCTGTCCCCACATGGAAACCCTTGGCCCATTCCTGAGCTCTCCAGCCTCCCCAGCTCACTCTGCTTCCGGGCCATCTATAAAGTCCACTTGTGGGATTGGCTGCTTTCACCATCTCCCAGAGTCTGGTTCTTTTGTAAGATACAATAAAAATGAAACATCTCCCTCAACTACGCTCTATTAAATTCAACAGACAAAATCACACCATCAAATTCCTGCAGAGGAGCCCGTTCCACTTCCCTGAGCTCTCAGGCGAGCCTGCATGGTCCTTGGGGGAGATCAGCCTTGGGACGGGGGTGAAAGCAGCTGATGGCCGGACACCGTCCTCCGTTCTCCTAGAGTGAGCCTCGGTGCAGAGGGTTGCCTCAAAGTTGAGCCGAGAATGAGTGACTTGGCCACTAGTCAGCTCCCAGCATTGAAACCAAGAGTTGGGAAAGGGGAGATGAGGGAGGAGGAGAAGAGTCCAGTAATGCACTGCTGGTGGGAGGTGAGAACCAGAACAGGAAATCTTTGGAAATGAGCATCTCAGTAGAGCAGTTTCCAAAGCAGCCCTTAGAGTGTGGTTTCCATGTTCCCACCCTCAGGGTCTGGCCCTGATGGGTTGAGAACGGAGAGTGGAGTCGCCGAGCTGAGCACCCCACTGGGGCATTAATGGTCCCCTGTGTCCTCCCAGCCTCCAGCCTGGGCCAGTGGCTCCCTCCCGCAGGCTTCACCCATGGGCTCTTGTCCACAGACACTGATGTCAGCCCGGGAATTCAATGTCCGACAATTTCCTGCGTGGAACATTTTTCACTCTTAAGTGGTTTCTGCTTCAATTTTTTTAAAGCCGGTGGGGGAATATCTTGGCAACTTTATAAAGCTTGTACTTTATAAAAAGACTGCTTTGTGTTCACATTCAACTCAAAGTACATGTTTTTTTAAAAAGTGTGTTGCACGGTGTTTTGAGGTTTTACTTTTTAAAGTCCGGTCCAGGAGAAACAAGATCTGAGCCTTGAAGAGTGAATGGGTCCCCTAAAAGCTACTGGAACTGGCACCAGCCACTGAGCCCTCCTGCGGAAGCCTTAGCTGAGCTGAGTGTCCCTGTTTGCTCTAATGTCCTTACGAGAAATTCGCAGGTGGTTTTGTGCCATAAAACTTTTTTTGGGGGGGGGGTACCAGGGATCAAACTCAGGTCCTTGCACTTGTGAGGCAGGTGGCACCACTGAGCTAAATCCCTGGCCCTTGCCATAAAACTCTGTTTTTTTGGTACCGGAGATCGAACTCGGGACCTTGTACTTGCGAGGCAGGTGGCAGCACCACTGGGCTAAATCCCCAGCCTGCCATAAAACCCTTGACAGGAGCGAACAAATGAGGTCAGATATGCCTACAAAACCCCAATCAAATGTGTCCAATTGCACCTCACCACCTTGCTTTCCATTAAGTTTATCCCAGATCTGACCACTGGGAAGAGAATCAACATTAATTCCCTGTACCCAACTGGGTTTCTTTTAACATTAACCCATGATTCTGTTACTCATTCAAATATGCAAGCACGGCATGGGTGAGAGAATGAAATACACGCATGACAAAGTATTTCTCTGCAGCTATTCCAAATAGGGCAGAGCACAGGCCCTCTGTGCCTCCTCTTCTTCCTTTGCTTCACCACCAAAAGGACCAAAAGCAAGGACCATTTTTAGTGGGTGAAGCAAAACAATAGCTCAGTAAGATCCTCTAGCAATCATAAGCCCACAGGAAGAAACTACCTTACAAGAGCTAAAGAAACCAGGCAAGAGACCATATCGTCTGGGCTTAGCCTAACGTTAAGAGAAGACACATTGAAGGAAACAGGAAATAGAGAGTAGCCTGAATTATTCTTCCAACTCCAAGCAGCACAGCGTGGAGAGAGAGAATTCCCACTTGAGGGAAAGGGACCTAAGTCCACATGTTAGACTTGAAACTCAGTACCAGGCTGAGTACTGCTCATGGACTGGGCCTCCAGACCTGTGTTTCTCAGGTGACCAAAGGACTGCCTCTATCACCCCTCCCCTACCTTGGCAGGACAACACAAGGTAGGGCTGCACCTGCGAAGGGGGAGGACCAGGAAGTGTACGCAGGACTTCACATGGGAACTCAAGTGCCAGGGCAGTGAAACCCAATGCTGGACAGATCCAATGGTCCCTTCCGGAGACAGAGCCTCTGGCCCTGCCCAGGTGCCCCCGTTACACAGACTTCTAGTCCAGTCAACATCATCTGTGGCTGACTGCAGCCCTCTTAGGCCACAGAGAGGCCATAGCAGTAGGCAGCTCACAGCAGCATGGGCCTTGGTCCTGCTCCTGTGCTATTCTGATTGCAGGCTGCTCTGGATCCTGGATGCAACAGTGTTGCAGTGTGGATGGCCACAGGACTGGCTACACCATCCCTGCCCCAAGGCGAGCAGCACAACATGGAGGGTAATTATCTGCTTGGTGAAAGAAAAGGGAGAAAGTCACCGTGTTCTTACACAGGAGCCTGAAACCAGTCCCTTCATAGAGAGGCCCAAAGTCGGGTAGAATTTCATGGCATATGGGTGAAAGCTTGCTGAAACAGACTACCCTGCCTAGGTACTCTTAGTTCATTCTGAAGGATGCACCAACTGTGGGTTTAGGACAAACGGGATTGGATTTCCCTCTAATGTTGAAACAGTGACAAACACCAACGGTGAAGTTGTAGTAAACTTGTGCTTAACGCGCCATCTGGTGCTGAAATTGTAGAAGTGACCGAAGCCAGGCTCAGAAAAAAAATGAGCATCCTGTTTAAAATTTCTGGAAAAATGAGTTACAGACAGCAGATGTTGACAAGCATCAGAAACTTTCAGGAAAGCATAACTTCATCTAACAGACAAAATGAGTTACCAAAATACACCATAAAGCAATCAATATGTGCAAACTCTAAGAATGCAAAGTAACCGTTTTAAGCAGATTCAGTGAACTTCAAGAAAACATGGGGCCGGGGAATTAGCTCAGTGGTTCCACCACCTGCCTTGCAAGCGCAAGGACCCGAGTTCGATCCCCAGTACCCCCCCGAAAAAAATAAAAACGAAAGAAAACACAGAAATATGACTAAGAATTCTGCTGGAGAAAATTAACAGCGAAATGAAAGCAATTTTTAAAAATCAACCAGAAATCTTTGAGCTGAAACGTACCCTAAGCCAAATTTAAAACATAACAAAAGGCATCAATAACAGAATAGCTTAGAAGATCCAGTGAGCTCAAAGATAGGATATTTGAAAATATACAGATGGAGGAGGGGGAAAGTGAAGCAGAAGAAAGAACTGTTAAGGAAACTTTGGGATGGCGTGAAAAGAGCAAATGCTTGGGTTATTGGGGTGCAAGAGGAGATCCTGACATGTTGGATAGGCATTCCCTATCCAACACCCCAGAGGCAAAGAACTATGACTAAA